ACATTACAGTTATGAAGTAGCAACAAAAATAATTTTATGGTTGGGTCACAACATGAGGAGCTGTATTTAAAGGGCCAGAAGGTTGAGAACCACTGCCCTAGTGCGTCCAGACCTCCTGAGTTTTCAGGAGAAGCTGAAGTCGTGCCTTGTTTGTGGAATGCAGCTTTTTCTGGGACACGTGAGAGGCACAGTGGCTGACGGTACAGTAGACTCTGGAGCCAGTCCTCCTGGGTTTGAGTCCTGGCTCTGTCTCTTAGCTGTGTGGCTGTAGGCAAGTTACCTAAATGCTGTAGTCAGTTTCCTTATCTGTACAACAGGGATAATAGGACCCGTCTCCTCGGATCGGGATGAAAGCTAAACAAGTTAATACATGGAAAGCACGTAAGCCAGTGCCAGACACATGGAAGTGGCCTGACTTTTCTATATCTGTGTCGGCTGAATGCCCACAGTATTGTTGGTCTTACAAGACACTCTGTAGGCTAATGGTTGGCAACCTCTGGCTTAAAGCCATTCTTTCTGTAAATGGATCCTAACTAGGATAGTCATATAAGTTATCATCTAAACCAGGACACTTTTGAGAGAGGAAGGAGGCCCTATTACTAATTATTTCAGTTGACAGATGAACAGCCTGTCCCAGCCAAACTGTGCTTGGTCCTAAGTGCCATCTTTGTATATGAAAAACCAGCAAGTAGCTTCTCTCTGTGTCCTGCTGGGTAAGTGCCAGGTTGTACACATGAGTTTATAGGAGGCGTCCTGTGCAATCTTCAACAGCAACAATCCTGGGGCGGGGGGGCGGGGTAAAGACTCGTTAACTCTCTTTTTTACTGGTGGGGAAACTGAGGCATGGAGAGGCTAAGGGACTTATCAAAAGCCACACCATGGCAGAGCCAGTCGGGTTCCGGAGCCCTCGTGCTTACCTGTACCGTTTTCTCCAGTGGGTGCAAGGCAGTGGTAAGGACATCGAAAATCCTGTTCAAAGGGAAGCTAAGACCCAGGATGGCATGGTTCTTGGCTCAGGCCACTGCTCAGCACTGGGCTGTGCCGGGAGCGCAGGGCAGCACTGGTGCTCCCGCCACCGCGGGGCTGGTATTTCACAGCATCGCCGAGTGTTACGAGGAGCTGTGGACACGGGGATTAAGTACCAGGCCGGTGCCAAGTGCATTTCATCAGGTCCCTGCAGCCAGTTCCCAGGCAGCTCGTGAGTCTCATGTGCGCGTCGCAGCTGGTGAAAGTGGATCCTGCCTAAGAGTCAGCCGCCTAAACCTGACACCTCCGTGGCTGGCAGGTCACCCCAGGCCCCCAGATTAAAGGACAGCTGAGGACACAGTCCTAAGGAACCCTGAGAGGAGAACAGGACTCATGAGGGGTGGCCCACCCACTGCAGCGTCGCAGAGCTCCAGGTGTGGCCCTGTGACAGGTGCAAAGAAGAATGATCTGCCCTCGTGAAAGGGGTTGGTGCTGGCATTGAGGGAAGGTACTCGGGCGTGGACACCGTGTTAAACATTCTCGTCAGACGGGGACAGCAGGGTTTTGGTCATAGTTGGAGTGCGGTGATGGATACATAGATGGTTCTTACACTCTTTTTAAAACATTTTGGATGTTCAAAAGGTCTTCCACATTCAGAAACTAGTTTTAGAGGAAAAAGAATATACGCCAGCATGAAGGTGGATACAAAATGCTTTGAGTCTCAAGTGTCCTTGCCGAGAAGATAAGAGCAGCTGGGAGGATCCGCAGCCATGAGGGCCCATGGCAGCCGGCCCAGGGCTGGGAGGAGCCCTTCCTTTCTGTCTGCTTTGGTGATAGCACACTTTAAAGCGATATTAAATCTTGATAAATCTTGAGGGAAAAATGCTCACTATGTTGTCAATAATGGAGTGATGGCTGGCTCTGACCAGTGTCCTTGGCCACTCTTGACCCATATGGAAAGGTCTAGCTGGGAAGTAGGACTCAGTACATTCCATTCTTCACTCTACCTTGGTTCTCCATTTGTAAAATAGGAAGATGAGTTTTTCCATCCAACGAAGTGAGGACATATCAAACAGGCATTGCAGAAGGTCACACATATGAATGCCCACTCCCTATGGAAAACCTATGTCTTCTGAGCTGCAGAGCAGATGTTAGATCTAAACGGTCCAGCTGACGGTCAATCTAGGAGACTTGTCAATACAAAGCCTTTCACATACAAAGCCTTCCCATTCAGTATATCATTGTATTCTGAAATGCTCCCGGTCATGGCATTATTTAGACTTGTTTCTGATGGGGGCAAACTCCAACTCTGGCTGGCTTAAGCCAGCAGGGACTGTATGAGGAGGATCTGGGACAGCTCACAGAACTGAAGGAACTACCTAGCGATCACAATGGTGAAGTTGGTGTATGTTCTCAGATGCAGTCCCCTGGCCCTTGTCTCTGGTCTCTCGATCCCAGGTTTCAGATCCCTGGGAGAGAGAACCTGATTGGCCCGGTCAGATCTGGTGTCAGAGTGGGGAGGGTTATTCGGTACCAGCCTGGTCACTATGGGCCACCACTGTGTGTCAACCACCCCCACCAAGTAGAATTCTCTTTGTGTCAGGCAGCCACCCTGAAACCATCGTGTTGTTTCGTGCTGTGCTGTTATCTTCCTTGTAGCTGCAAGCATATGTTTGAAGGTCAAGGGACTCCTGTAAGACAGGCTCAAGGACTGTTTGGTTTTAGAAAGATCATCTGGCTCTGATGTTTGTGTCTGGCCAGAGCTAACCCGCCAAATCAGGTTTGAATTGAGAGGTTTGATCATGATTATTAAACCCAGGAGAGGAAGGAAGGGGTGTAGGTAGGCATCCATGGCCTGAGCACATGAATACCTGTCATGGGTGGTCCTGTCCATTGGGAGCCCGAGGAGCATTTTGTTTTAAATCTTGAGTTTTACTTGGGAACACCAGATCCTTTCCAAGGGAATGTGCACTGAAAACATCTGTGTCTCCCCATCCCAAAAAAGAGGGGGAAAATGGATGAGGCAGGGCTGCCCTGAGGAAAGAGGTGCCCCAGGTTCTCAAGTGTGAGCTACTTTGAGGTAACTTTCCGCGCCTCCTCTTTCATCCTTTAGTCAGGGAGAGAAAGCAGAATTTCAGCCGAGAAGGTGAGAGATTGGGAAAGAAAAGGGATCGCTCAGTTCACGGGTGAATGTCAAGTCGTGGTCCAGGCCAAAAGGAGAAGGTTGAGTAGCTGGAGCAAAGGCCACATCTGCAGAGCTGGGTGGGCGAGTGCGGGGCTAGAGCTTGGAACGCAGGGCCTGCCCGGCCGCAGGGCGGACGAGCTGGGATACGGTGCCTCTGATGTATGTTTAATGAATATGTGTTGCTCTGGGGCAGGGCAGGGCCGTTGACGGAGTAGGGTTAGGGTTAGGGCGTGGGACTAGGCCTGGGCATGTGGCGTGGCGTTTGACGGGAGGATGGGGTGTGACTCAGCTCTGCTTCTGCAGGGCCTTTGTGTGATGGTGTGTGGTTTGGGCAGCGCACAGCCGAGCCCTGACCAGGGGCAAGGTGGGAGCTGAAATCCAGCCACACCCCACTCGCCAGTCCATGAACTGGCAAAGCTGCAGAGATGCCATGTGGGTCAGGCTGCTGAGCAGCTCCTGAGACTCAACTGGTCCCCGACAGGCATCTGTGTAGAAGGACATTGGTCTCTGTGCGTGGGCCAGCTGGCTTAAGATTCCAGAATTACCAGCTTCCTCAGGCCTGAATGACACGCCTCTCCTGATAGCAAGATAGAATTTTTTTTTTTTTTGAGACAACACCCACATCTTTTATTTTTTTAAGTTGAATTTTCAGCCTTTTGCTACCCTAGTTGCCTGGCACATTATAAGTACTCCATACGTGTGGCAATTGTTATTTTAAATCATTATTTTAAAATGTTTTCTTGTGTATTTCCTCTGGTTTCACAATTCAAGTAAAGTGATGTCATACCTGAGAACATGAAAGTGAATCTAAAAGCAGTAATAGTTTCCAGAGAAATAAAAGTGAAACTTTACCGCCACCTGTGCTCCTGTACCTCTAATGGATCCGTGGGTGGAATTCAGGTTCTGTGAACTTGGATGGGAAAAAATACATGTTCTTCTTCACTAACACTGCTGGGGTCCGACCCCAGCGGGTCCAGGGGTCCCCAAAGGTGTGGACGGAGTCGGCGAAGAAGGGATGACACGGAGACAGCGTTCAGTTGATCAGCAGCCTAGCCAGGATCTCCAGCCAATTTCTGGTCAGGATCTTCAGCAAAGTTCTGGTTAGGTTCTCCAGTGAAGTTCTGGTGTTAGGTTCTCTTGCCATGTTCTATCCAGGTTCTGTCTCTAGGTTCTGTCTAGGATCTCCAGCCAAGTCCTGTCTCTAGGTTCTGTCTCTAGGTTCTTCAGCCAGGTTCTCTAGCTAGGTTCTGTTTCTAGGTTCTGTCTCTCAGCAAGATAGAATTTTTAAAATGTGTCATGAGCCCCTCTATTTCGTTAAGATTAAAGAAACCCAACAGGATGATATCTATGAATGCCATTACAGTCAGGGTGGGGAAGTCTTTGTCCCCAGCCCGTGAGCTGTTCCGAGGTGGGAAGGAACATTCTCCCTGATGACACGATGGCAGCTCCCTGCCAGGCACATGGGTGAGCAGTGGCAGGGCACTGTCTGTGACCCAGGGGTGAGGGAGGGAGGCCTCAGGGAGAGGAGACCGGAGGAGGACTGAGACTGGGGTGGGGGTGCCTCCAGAAGAGTGACGACCCTACTGCTGACGCTCCCTGAGAACCTTACACAAGGAAGGGGAGGAAGGCTTTTACTCCCCCGGCGGGAGGACAGCACCATGGGCTCTTCCCCTCCCATGAATTCAGGGTATGAGAGCCAAGTGGTACCCAGACACCCTTGAGCCCACTTGAGATGGGCGGTTCCAGCCTGGCCTTGGGGAGTGTCTGCACAATTCACTTGTGTTGCCTGATGTCATGTGCACAGTAGGGACACCTCACCTACATGTCCTCTTTGTCTCCGGTTGAGCAGATGCAGGAGCTGGAGCAGAGGCTGCAGGAGGCTGAGCAGAGAGCAGAGAACTCGGAGACCCAGGTAACGGGGGGAGGGGATTGAGAAGAGTGTCAGGGGAGCTGACCATTGGCCTTTCCTGCCCCTTCCCATGAACTCTCGTGGACCTACTCATCACACTGACGAGCTTACAGGGACAAGGAAAACCAGCAGTCATGCGTCAGAACTGCTAACAGACGAAAGTGCATGGAGCTTTCTGTGGGGGCGAATGAGTCTTTGGTTAATGTCAGTGCAGGGAGTGGGTGAGTGGACTAGTCCATATAGACTAGGTTTTATGCTGAGATAACAAGTTAAGTCTGACATCTCAGCGGTTTATCACATTTAGTTCTCACTCATGGTACCTCTCCGGGGGGGTGCTCCAGGGATTCTGCTCCACACAGGGATTCAGGGTCCAGGCTAACGGAGCTCCCCATCCTCTAGCTGGGCCATCTGGAACATGCAGCCTCCTTGGTTGCCATGGCAAGGAAAGGGAGCTGGGTGCTTGTGCACTGGCTCTTCAATAGCTTGAGCCCAGAAATATGTGTCCTTCCTCTCAGGCCCACTGACTGGACAGAATTCCATGCCCCTCTCACTAGAGGGGCCGGAAATATCGGGAAGCCATGGACATGCAGTGAGCAGCAAATGTCTGCCACCGTGAGGCGGGAGCAGTTCCTCTCCAGGGCTGTCTGTCCTGCCCGGCTCATCCCCACCTGGGCTCCAGAATTAGGGGACCCAGCACCCACCTGTTTCTCCCTGTCATTTCCTTTTTTTTTTCCTTTTTTTTTGCCCAGATGAGGCTTAATAAATGGTCATTGAATTAATTGTCCCCACTGCTCTGGGTAAGGGCTCTGCCTGGGAGTCACGGGCTGGGGTATCAGGAAGTGTCCCTTCCCATGTTAGTGGTCATTTCATACAACACATCCCAACCCTATGAGATGCTTGGTCCTTTTCAGGTGAGTGTGATGGAAGAGAAGGTGAAACTCTCCAACCTGAAGAACGTGGGCTCCGCAGGCAGCCTGCACCGGAAGTACCAAGAATTACTGAAAGCTGTGCAGGGCAAAGATGAGCGCATCGGCCAGCTGGAGGCACAGCTGGAGAAGCAGGTAAGGGCACCAAGCAGCGGAGCGCCAGTGCCCTCTGCAGCACCTGCGCCCATTGGCCCCGGCTTCTTGAGCAGAGCCTCTCTGCTCGACCCTCCCGCGGTGGGGAGCTCACTCCCTCTTGAGCCTGTTCTCTCGTGTGGCGATTTCATTACTGGGAGGTTCACTAGGAGCCAGGCAGGGGATTCAGTGGGAAAAGGACCTTGGAGGCGGACTGATCTGGGTTTCAGTCCCACCTCTGGCTCCTGCTGCTCTCGAGCTGTGGGCAGGTCACCCAAGTCGCTGCTTCTCATTTTGCGCATCAATAATATAGGGGCTGTCATACGTCAGAGGGCTGTCAGGTGAGTGAAGGAGTGATGTGTGTGTTGTATTAGGCCGGAGGTTGGTATTTGGTAAGGAGAGCTGTCCCTTCCCCTCCCTGGTATGTGCCCTGCCAGCATGAGGGACATAACCCTTGGCCGGAGGATCAGAGCAGCAGAGCTGGCCCAGCAGCCTTGGTTGGCCAAGGTTTCTCAGTGGCCCTGAGCCCATACATGGCTGCTGCTGCTGCTGCTGAAAGCGGCCTCCTGCCCTGAGCCCATGGGAGCCCAGGAGAGGCCACTGCCCTCCGTCCCAGCTACAATCGCACCTTCGCTCCGGAGAGGACGCCTGGAACACCCCCCACCAGCTCCCCCTGCCCAGCCTCCTCCCCTTCACAGTCTCATTAACTTCATCCTAATTCTGTCCCTTCCCTCCGCCTTTGGCCTTAACTACCAACTTTTCCTGGTGCCCGAGCTCCATCCTTTCCAATAAATGACCCCACAGCGTGGCCAGATGACTTTCATTTTCCACATGTGCCCTCTCCATAAAGGTCCCGGCTAATCCTGGCAGTACCTTCCCACCGTCATGGGCAAACACACAATCATTCGCCAGCATTCGCCGACATTTCCTTTGTGGATGTGGCTTTGTAATCTGTGGGGCACCAGGTGTTCCTGGAAAATCACGGAAAATAGAATTCTGACACGTGGAATCTAATCAGTCCCCATGGATTTCAGAGATTCCTTCTCTTGAGTGGTTCATAGAAGTGGCAGATCGGGCGATTGTTGGGCAACAGATTCCTGCTGGAGCTTAGGTCAGAAAAAAAATCGTTTTCCAGAAATAATAGGTCAAGATCAGACTAGAAAGAATGCTGCTCTGTAAGTCAGTAGACCTGGTTTTAGTCCCAGCTGTGCCAGGAATGGACCGGGGCAAGGCATTTCACCCCTCGGGCCTCCGTGTCAAAGTACGTCAGGGGTCGGTCCGCAGACTTTTTCCGTAAAGGGCCAGATAGCAAATATGATTGGCTTGTGGGCCACATGATCTCTGTTGCAACTACTCAACTCTGCTGTGGTAGCGTGAAAGCCGCCCTTGGCCACATATAAATGAATGGGCATAGCTGGGTTTCAGTACACTTCATTTCCAAAAATCGGCAGGCAAAGGGGGTCCGGGACAAGCAGAAGGCTGGGTTTGGCCTGTGGGCCAGTTTGCAAGCCCCTAACCCAGATTACCTTAACGTAAGGTCCTTCCAGCTCTGCAATTGTGAGTCGAGTGGGACATTTCCATATTCCCATCTCATTTGCGCAGACACCCTTGTTTGGAGCTTATGTCCAGCATACATTTATGAGGTAGTTTTTCCCTAGAAGTGTAACCGAAGTCCTTATTGCCGGTCTCTAAGCTACTCCAGAACATCCCGCATCTCCATGCATTTAAGTCAGGGCACTTGTGCTCGCTGTAGAACTGGTTGGGTACCTGGGCCTCAGGCACCGTGCTGGGCCCTTGTGACTGCATGCCACAGTGCTCCGGGAGGGAGCTGGGCCATCCCCGGCCTGGAGGTGACATGCAGGCCCGAGGGTCGGGTGCCCACAGCAGATGAGCCTCAGAGGCAGAACCAAAGCCCCCAAGCCTGCCTTTCCTTCCAGCCTGGGCTGCTCTGCTTTCGAGACAAACCTCGCTTTTCTATCGCCTTATGTACTCTCTTGATTATTTTGAGGGAATGGTGGTTCTCATGTGCTAATTCGGCTTTATTTTCTGTTTTTAACCGCAAAGATAATACATGAGTCTAGTAAAAAAATGCAGAAAGCCCAGAAGAGGATAAAATGACATTTTTCCTCTGTCCCCAATCCTTCCTTCCTACTCCTCCCTGTTAGCCGCTGTTCATTGTGAACGTGTCTTGTGCAGCAAAGCACAGCATCCTGTCTTCATGTTTATTTCTCCCTTATTTGTGGAAATTTGGTGATTTTCAGTGTTGCGTTTTTTGCCTTTGGTGCTTTATCAAATGGCAGCGGACGATTCCTGAGCAGGGGGTGTATTAGTTCAGTAGTATGTACATTTAAAACGTTGACAGATATTCTCAAATTGCTCCCAAAAAGACTTAGCCGGTTCATGTCAGAAGGGTTGTTTTCCAGCATTTTTGATAATTTGGGATAATATTAAACTTTTAAATTATGTTAGTCTGATAGAGGAAAATGATGTCTCACTTTTATCAGATTTCTTAAAATTATGATGGAGACTGAACAGCTTTTTCATGGGTTTTGTTGCCTCCTTTTTCTGTTGATTTCCTGTTCATATCCTTTGGGTTGTTTATTTGAAATTAGACCTTTGTATGTGTTGCAAATCATCCTCCAGTTGGTCTTTTGATTTTGTCTAAGGGATTCTTTTTGTTTTTGGCCAGATAGTAATTTATCGTGATGGTATAGATTTATTAGCCTTTTCCTTCATGACTTTTTGGGATTTCTCTATGCTTAGGAAGGCTTTTCCCACTTTAAGAATATTAAACATATTCATAAGTGAATTTATTTTTTTCTATTAGGGCACCCTGTACAGTCGCCTGATATTTCTTCTCAGGGTTTCCCGCTTTGAATTATTCACTAAAACAGTGACTTGTCATTAACTGAAGGTCCTCTCTTTCTTGTAGAAGCAGATGAGAGCTGAGGAAGCAAAGATTGTTCAAGAAAAAGCTGCAAAGATCAAGGAATGGGTGACCCTAAAGTTAGCAGAGGTGAGTCACACACTCTTCCGAATGGACGTGAATTGCCCGCGCCCCTCAGCCTTTTTCTGCCTCGGTGTGAGGGGCCTTGACCGATCTTCGTTTTGTTAACCATTTGCCCTTCATTCAGCCTAAATGCTGAGACCCTCCACTCACTTTCCCCTTCCTCTGTGCGGCTGGTTCCCAGAGCTCCTGAGTCACTTTGTGCTGTAAGTTTGGGGGAAAGGAATGAGCCTCACTTCTGTAGAGTCACATCAGTTCCCACTGAGGAGCACACGTGGTCCTCACCGTCCGCTCTCTCCACTTTCTCCTCTGTCCTCTCCATTCCTTTTAATGTTTAAAAATACACATAAGTTGTACCATTGCAGCTGGGTTTCCAGTGTAAATTGTAGTGGCATTAAGTACTTTCACAACCATCTCCACAGTCTGTTTCCAAAAGGTTTCAGTGCCCCAAATAGAAACTCAGTACCCATTCAACGCTGACTCCATTCTCTCTTCCCTCCGCCTCCCAGCCCCTGACAGCCCGGTTCTACTTTCCACAAATGCCATCATCTTCGTAGTTCACCACTTGCAATAGCTTTGTTTAGGAAACTCGGGACTAGAAACTACAGTGCTACTAACAAAACTATCAAACAACAAACAGAAACAATAAAAAACCTCTTTTTAAACACAAGGAAAAGGAATTAAGGTTTGGAAAAGGATGGAAGCTCATTTGTTCCCCTCTGTCCTGACACATGTGGCCACACCTGTAGGGGGTCATCTGTCCCCTTCTGTGGACATCTCAGGTCGTCTGCTAGGCTGCAAGTTCTTGGGGTCAGAGCTGATGATTGCACAGCCCTGACCTCTTGCTAAAAGGTATGTTGGATTTCATTTAAAAGAAATGCATCCTTAGCCATTTGGTTTAGTGGATAGAGCGTTGGCCTGTGGACCGAAGAGTCCCTGGTTCGATTCTGTTCAAGGGCACAAACTCAGTGGCAGGCTTCTCCCTGGCCCAGGCCGTGGTCAGGGCTCGTGCAGGAGGCAACCAATGGATGTGTTTCTCGCACATCGATATTTCCTTCTCACTTCCACTCTCTCTAAAAATCAATGGAAAAATATCCTCGGGTGAGAATTTTTTTTAAAAAAAATGCAGCAACCACGAGGATGGATCTCATAGACATCCTGTTGTTCAAAAGAAGCCCAACACAGAAGTACATGCTGTATAATTCCATTTATATAAAGTTCAAAAATGGGTACAACAAAATCCATATGACCTTAGCTGTTTGGCTCAGTGGGATAGAGCTTCGTCCTGCAGACTGAAGGGCCCTGGTCAAGGGCACGTGCCTCGGTTGCAGGCTCGATCAGTCCCCGGCCCTGGTTGGGGCACGTGCAGGAGGTGACCAATCTGTGTGTCTCTCTCACATTGATGTTTCTCTCTCTCTGTCTCTCCCCCTCCCTTCTACTCTCTCTAAAAATCAGTGGAAAAATACTCTCGGATGCAGATTAACAACATTTTTAAGAATCAATATGTGTAAGGATTCATACTTAGATGGTAAAACCCAGAAAGCAGGGCAGTGAGTCTCTTAAACGTAGAAGAATGGTTGTCTCTGGGGAGGGAGGGACGTGTGATTAGAAAAGGCAAGCCCAGGGTTGTTGGAAGGCTGGAAAATTCCTTAACCTGGATGGTGGTCACATGCGTGTTCGTTTCAGCATCATTTATGCTGTTCATTGACGTGCTATGCAGTTTTCTGTGTATGTGGGTTTCACAATTTTAAAAAGCTTAAAAATGAAACTAGAAAGAAAAGGGCAGGGATTGCCAAATGGAATTCTATCCCAAACGAGACTGCTTAGCCCAGAGGAAGGGAGGAGCTCAGGGCAGCACTGTTCTTTTTCGAAGATTTGATCTTTAAAAAGGATTTTAAGCTTATTTTGAATGATATGTCTAAGCTGTAAGCTGAGTATTCTAAACCTTCCGTATTCCTTGTGCCCAGCTTGAGATGGAGAACCAGCACTTGAAAAGCTGTAATCAGCGCCTGGTGGAGCAGGTGGCAGCCCTTCAAGAAGCCCTAGAAGGTAAGTGGGTCAGTGCGTGTGTGTGTGTGTGCGCATGCCTGCCTCTGTGTGCGTGTTTGTATGTTAGGGTGTGTGCCAGTGTGTGTGTGTGCACCAGGGTATAAGTGTGTGCCTGTGTGTGTGTGTGCGCGCGCACACGCACCAGGGTATAAGTGTGTGCCTGTGTGTGTGTGTGTGTGTGTGTGTGTGTGCACGCATGCGCACCAGGGTATATGTGTGTGCCTGTGTGTGTGTGTGTATGTGCGCGCGTGCACACGCACCAGGGTATAAGTGTGTGCCTGTGTGTGTGTGCACGGTGTGTGTGTGTGTGTGTGTGTGTGTGTATGTGCACGGTGTGTGTGTGAGTGTGTCGGGGTGTGGGGCTGAATTAAGATAGCTCTTGACATGCCTTCTTTTGCCCCAACGATAGCTCTTCAGATGGCGCTTTCAGAGAATCTGCTGGTGGCCCCCCAGGAAATCCCAGAGCAGGATTCTGTCCCTGCAGGGCCAGGAGCCCAGCTGATGGGGCAGGACAGTGGTGCTCAGGCTCAGGATCCTCTGAAGGCCGCTCTGCCAAGCGAGGACTCTGTCCCTGAAGTGAGAAGCGCCACGGAGGAGTTCGGTTCCATCGTGGTCCGTCCCGGGGGACTATCAGAGGCCAAGACCCTTCCATCTCGTCTGGGAAGAGAGGGTTCTCCTGGCCAGCTGTGCATGCAGACTTGCACCCCCGGACATGCTTTGTCTTCCTGGGATGAGGGCCTGGCCACTGCTCAGGCAGGGTCACTCCCTGGGACAAAGACCTCTGCCAGGGAAGGTGGCCCCGGCTGCAGCCTGACCCTCCCGAAGGTGCGGGATCCCAGCGCCCCCTACGACAGTGTCCAGCTGGCCAAGCGGCACCACAGCCAGCCCCCGGTGGGCCCTGAGCGCTCCAACCACGTGGGGAGCGCGGAGATTGGGACCCTCGCCGCCCTCCCCCACTCCGGCCTTCCCAAGGTGGCGGCCCCCGCTGAGCTCGAGGAGGAACCAGAGAAGATGGAGATGGAGGAGCCACCCCCAGCCGTGAGGAAGGAGGAAAGAGAGAGCCAGAAGGTCTCCACAGCTGAGCTGGAGGAAGTGGATTCGGGAGGCAAACCCCCCACACCTCCCTTGCACCGGTTTCCATCCTGGGTAAGAGGCCACCTGGGGGCGGGGCGGGGCTGATGATGTGACCAGTGTCCTCAAGCACAGCCACACACTGAGCAGGGACGGGACAGTCCTCCTCATGGTGCCTCCAGGAGCAGGGTCCACGGGGCCTGCCCAGAGCTCCCAGCCAGCCAGGGGCAGAGCCGGGATTTGGAGTGATTGGGCGGAGGCCAGCTCCCGTGTCCGAAGCAAGCGCCCGCCGTGTGCCACTCGCCACGTTGGTGCTGGGTTGGGCTGTGTGCACGTCGTCTTGTTTGGCCTCTGACTCTTAGAGGTGGTGCAGCGTGGGCGCTAAGGGCAGGGCTGCCAACATCCATCACTCGGGTTGGATCGCTACCTCTGTGACCGGGGCACGTGACTAACCCTCTGTGCCTCGGTTTCCCTGTATGTAAAATGGGGATAACGGTACCTGCTTTATCGGGTTGATAGTAATAAGCACTTGCAGTAGTGGGTCATGGGAAGTGGCACGGAAGTGCTGGCCGTTGTTATTTCTGAGCCCCGGCTTCCTTCCTTGTACCACAGGGTAAAACGCTGTGCTGTCCAGGGGAACGGCTTCAGAATCAGCGCTCTGGGTGGGGGGACCGATGAGGCGAGACCGCCACGCGCTAATCTTTGTAGAGCTGGGCGAGGGGTCCGTGAAGTCGTACTTGATTCTGTTCTCTCCACTTTCGTGTCTCAAGTTTTCCATGAAATGGGAAGGGGGTGGGGATGGACCTTGCTGAGGTTGCACAGTCCGTGGTGAGGGCGAGATGAGATCACGGGTGTCGACAGCTGAGCACAGAGCCCGCCACAGGCCGGGACTCCTTGCCTGTCTGTGAAGGAGTGAGATGCTGTTTTTCTTCACAGGTGGGGGAACTGCTCTCCCTGCAGACTGGGTTAGGTGCCCAAGGTCACGGAGTAGTTAGTGAGGGCCAGGCTCTAAGTAAGACAGCGGGGCAGTGAGGGTGTTCCGGGAAGGGCCCTGGACTGGGGCAGATAAATTGGCACCAAGCAGTAAGATTAGGCACAAAAAGGTGCTTCCTCCCAGTGGTGGTGGGCAGGCCCCCGGAGCCCGGCTCTGACGCTCCAGCTTCCTGCCTCTTGGGGGACATCGGAGAGTAGCTGTCAGCCTCTCCCTCAGGGTCTGACCCTGGATGCTGCTGTGATGTGAGGCAGCACCGCAGGGGACGTCTGTCAGGCTCCTGGCAGCACAGGGAATTGTGTGCTGGGGGTGCCCCCCCCCCCATCACTGCCTGGGAGGCCCACCTCAGCAGCACCTTCCAGGGTCTCCTTTTGAAATGCTGTTAGTTGGGGCCTCATCACCCCAGGCTTATGGGCTGTGTGCTTAGCAGTGATTGCCACAGGGAGACCTGGATGACTGACACACCTGCTGGGGGAGGGCTAGGAGGTCCACAGGCCAAGGATTGCGGAGCTGTCCCTGAAGCCCCAGGTCCTGGCAGGGCCACAGGAAGGGTAAGGCAGGGAAGCAGCAGGTGGACCGGGAGCAAAGGGGCAGGTGGGACAAGGTGGAGAGGCTTTGAAACGGGGGAAGGGCCAGGCCAGGCTGGAATGCCATCAGAACCATCCCTCCTCTTGGTCACTGTGGTCTTGTAAATACAAATACTCTTGGAGCCCTAAAGCCCAGGTGGGCAGCGAGGGAGCATTCAGTAAGGGACCAGCAGGGGGGCTTAGCTCCACCCCGGCCCTGAGACAGGCTCTCTCCCATCGGCTTAGGAAGCCAGACCAACTGGGCAGTGACCATGTTGGGGGAGGGGGGGGGGCGGGCGGGAACCAAGACTGAGAATTACAAGGCCATCCCATCCGAGGGAGTCGGATAATCTTATTTGCCTATTTAGGGTTTGCAGAGCCCTTTTTCTGTGACCTCCAAAATAACCCTCGTTAGACATGAGACGACCTTCTGTGAAAGACTCCTATCTGTTCAGTGATAGTTGCCTAAATCCCTAAATCATGGTGAACCTGAATTCCTCAAGCTTCGCTTTTTCATCGTCCGCCACTACTGAGAGTAATCATCTTGACGCCTAATTTTACTACTTGGTCCCAATTTATCTGCCCCACCCCAGCGCCCCTCCTGAGGCACCCTCACTGCCTCACACGTCTTCCCTTCCCTTCCCACGCCCTTATCCGGGGATCTCATCCCAGCCCGGCCCTTGCGTCAACCCCTAAGGCCCTGCCCCCTGAGCTGACCTTCTCTGGTCCTTGTGACTCACCAGTCACCTGAGGGGGCCTTTGTTGTCTGTTTATCTTGAGTGGAGAAAAGAGATATGCAGAAGGAGGTGGGGCCATCCAGGGGAGAGGCTAGAGTTGAGGGTGGGCGGTCCCCATCCACACTCTTGTGCGCCTTGTACGTGGGGTTTTCAGTTGAGTGAGGTACACAGGCTTTGTGGGTGGGACCAAAGCCTAGCCATGATGTGACATTATTACTGTAGAGGAAATATGTGTCCCAGCTTCCAAACTGACTGACAAAAGGTCATGCCCTCACCTGGGGGCTGACTTCCTCGTGGTCAGCACCCCACTTCTGGGGGTGAGAGCCTGAGACCCAAGAGCTGTGAAATGGGTCAGGCCACGCCCCCCCCCCACCCGGAAGGGAGGGGTCAGAGAGGTGAGAAGCTGTTGGGCACTGGTTATAGTCCAGGTGTTAGATGTTCACATTAATAACTTAATTGGATTCTCACACAGCCTGAGTGTATTACCCCCATTTCAGAGCTGAGGCCCAGAAATGACGTAACTCGCCCCATTCTCCCGCCTGTGAGCGGCCGAGCCTGGGTGTGGACGCAGGTCTGGCTGCCTGCAAAGCCATGCTCTTCTCCACACCCAGGAGGGGCTGGGGTGGGCGTAGCCGTGGGCTCTGAGCCTCCTGGGCCCTCTCATTCCAGGAGAGCCGCATCTATGCCGTGGCCACGTCAGGCATGTGTCTCTCGGACGTACCTCCCCGAAGTAGTGCCACCTGCTTCGGTGAGTGCCAAGTGGGGTGCCCGTGGTGGGCAGGGTGGGCGTGCGGGCAAGAGAGGCTTCTGGGCAACACCCAGGGCTCTGGTCACCTGGCACCCCATTTCCACTTCCCCCCACCCCCCAACAGGTGAGTTTCAGGTGAAATCACACAGCCAGGGCTGCCTTGGAGAGAAAAGGAAAGGGCAGATTCAGCCCATTACCTGTTGGGTGGGCGTGGCCTTGAACAGTGTTGTAGCCAATCAGAGAGCTAGAAGGGACTTTAGAGGAGGGGTCCCCCAGCCCAGCCTCCTACCTGCACTGCAGTGAAGGCTGTGGGTGGAAGGAGCCCTAGTACCTTGATTTATGTGAGCCCCCGAGAGAGGCCCGTCCCACCACTGTCCCCCCAGTCCTGGGCCAGCCACGGAGTCCCCACAGGCTGTGAGCGCCCCGTAGTGCGTGACTGGAACTCGCCTTGGCCAGAGTGGGACTGAAGGCCGCGGCCCCTGTCCTGAGAGCTGTCCCCAGAGTGCTGTTTCCGGCAACTCCGTCTGCAGCTTTCCTCCTCCTCCCTCTGCCGTCCCCACACCCGTCCTGGGCCAGGGCACTGGGCACTGTAGCTCATCTCGTCCCTCTTCCCCCCCCCTCCAGGTTCGAGGCCTCCCTCTATTTCGTCCCCTGGGCCTTTCTCGGGCCTTGTCTACAAGAACTGCACGGTGCCTGTCTACACAGTCCTGAAGGGGGTAAGAAGCTGCTCTCCGAGGACAGCGCCCGCCCGCCCCCCCCCAGGCTCCTTGTCCAGTCAGCGGCTGGAGTGGGGCCCCAGGGTCAGACTTTTAGTAGAAAAATTCTTCATTTACAAAAATTTGAATAAATATGATTGTGGGCAAAGGAAGAAGTAAAAGGTTAAACCTATGCCTGCTCCACCTGTCCCCCCATCTTGTCACACGCCTGTCCTGGAGGGTGGGGCTCCTTTTAGAACTTTTTATGTATTTTACACTCCCATATAAACTCGATACAGCCCCAGACTTTTTAAAACAAAAATCAGATAAAAGTGCAACATGTTTTATATGCATTTTTGTCTCTTTTTATGATTAGTTTTTGAAATCATAACAATTATACTTCGTAAAGCTTTTTATAGAAGAATAAAAAGCCAAAAGTGGAGTTTCCCCCCACATTGCTTTTCCCGAACTCCCAGCCCAGAGGCAGCTGTCATTCATGGTCTGGTGTTTATTCTGTAAGGCCTTCTGCTGTGTTCACAAATGCGTTCGCAAATAGGCGCTATCTCTCACTTGCACACACACGTGCATGAACACAGGGGGTCACACTACATGTCATTCTACCCCTTGCTTGTTCACCCAGCCGTGTGCCAGGCCTTCCTGCTGTACCTCCCCTTGTAGGGCTGTCCAGTACCTTTGCGCAGATGCCCACGGCTACCTTAACCTGCCCTCCACTGATTGACAGTTTAGGACACACCTGTGTTTTTCTCTAAAGTAAGTGGTGTGATGGACATCACTGTGCAAATATCTCTGTGTGCACTTATATATACGTATCTCCGGAGGACAGAGTTCTAGAGGTGGGCTTTGTTTTGACAGGCAGTGCCAAATTGTCTTCTACAAATACTTCATCACACCACAGAGAGCCCTTTTCTCCAGTTTCACCAGCATCGAGACCAGCAATCTTAGTAAATGTCTGTCCGTGGAGATGGTTTCCTCATCCCCACACGTTGGTGAAGCTCCCGTCCTCACACTCGGGCTGTGGTGTGGCTCTCTGGCCCCCTAGTGGCAGGGAGTAGGGGTCACAGTGGTTAGGTGTTCAGCTGGGATGGGGCAGCTCTTTTAGGGACCACAGAGGATGGTGTGCCCCCCCACCACCATCAGCCCAAGGAGAAAGGTCAGGAAGGGACAGTTGTCTGGTGGGTGACCTGGCTGGGGGGTGGTGTCCTGGTGCCCAGACAGGCTGTGCTGGCCGCCCCTGAGCACCTGGAGCCGGAGTGCAGGTCGGGGGGTGGGGATTGTCTTGCAGCCTGAGCCGCATGGGAAGGGCCTGTCTTGCAGAGAGTCACGCAGATCAGCACCGTGCCCTTTGTGGACGAGTCCTCTGGGTCCGATGACGACTGCAGCTCTCAGGCGAGTTTCCAGAGCTCAGTCCCCTGCTCTGAGCCCAGGAAGACCAGTGGACTAGGCAGCCCCCGAGCTATCAAGAGAGGTACGGAGCAGGGGAGCTGAGGGGTGTGGACCACAAGGGGCCCCTCACCTCCTCCCATGGGCAGTCATGCATGGGGTCCCTGCTTGATCTCTGCCCGTGACCCTCAGCCCCAGACTCGGGGGTCCCGGGGTGGGTGAGGAGCTGGGGCTGACTGGCATGGGACACAGGCCTCGAATCCTTCCCCCTGGGCCAGGTGTCTCCCATGTCCTCTCTGAGCTCGGAGGGCGACTACGCCATTCCCCCCGGATGCCTGCTCCTTGGACAGCGACTACTCAGAGCCTTGAGCACAAACTACAGCGCACCTCATCCTACTCCACTGAGGGGACGAACCCTGGCAGGAGTGAGCTGAGGGCGGCCCCCACTGGGATGGGGCTTGAGAAGGGGCAGGGTGGGAA